ATTTAACCTTTATTTAACCAGGTAAGCCAGTTGAGAACAAGTTCTCATTTAAAACTGGAAGGAGAGTTTACAGTCTAACCAGACATCTAGGTATTTGTAGTTGTCCATATACTCTTGGTCAAACCCGTCGAGAGTAGGGATTCTAGTCGGGTGGGCAGGTGCCAGCAGCGTTCGATTGAATAGTTTTACAATGTGTTTAAGAGCATTGAAGCTCGTTTGGAGGTTTGTTAACACAGTGTCCAATGAAGGGCCAGATGTATACAAAATGGTGTCGTCTGCGTAGAGGTGGATCTGAGAATCACCAGCAGCAAGAGCAACATCATTGATATACACAGAGAAAAGAGTCGGCCCAAGAATTGAACCCTGTGGCACCCCCATAGAGACTGCCATAGGTCCAGACAACAGGCCCTCCAATTTGACACATTGAACTCTATCTGAGAAGTAGTTGGTGAACCAGGCGAAGCAGTCATTTGAGAAACCAAGGCTATTTAGTCTACCAATAAGAATGCGGTGGTTGACAGAGTCAATAGCCTTGGCCAGGTCGATGAAGACGGCTGCACAGTACTGTCTATTATCGATCGCGGTTATAATATCGTTTAGGACCTTGAGCGTGGCTGAGGTGCACCCAGTGGGTTGTGACTGGTTCAAAGTCATTGGACTGGTTCAAAATCAATATGGCAATGGCATCAATGATCAATATATAAGGCCAACAAATCACACTATAGTTCAAGGTGTAATTTAAAGTGATACCATGTCCAGACCCTTGTTGATGGAAAACCATATACAGGAAGTGTTGCACAACCAATCAGGTCATTCTTACATTTCAAAGGCACCAAGCAAAATGAATAGTTCTGTTCATTTAATCACATCAGTCACTACACGTTTCATGGTTAGGGGAAATAAGACAAACTCTTGTCACAACAATAGCAACATAGCAAGATGATCAGAATCAGCTTTGTTTTGGTACGTCTCACTCAACTTTGTAAGTGCATGCCTAACCAATTGTCTTACTGAACTGCAGAATTTTTAAACTGAATGTGTAATCAAAGTCTTAGACTATTGGAAAGTAATGCAGTAGTGCAGAAAGAGGATGACATACTGTAGCTATATCAATGTAGTTGTGACAGGAAATATCAACATATCAGTATGTTTCCATGGTTTTAAGGACATTGGTTAGGCTTTCTCCTAGACCATTTCCAGATAGCTCTGACCACTTTGGCAATTATTCTGCAAATTGATGTCTGTAGTTAATGTATTTGCAAAACTTCTTTCAAATCTATTGCTGTCCTGATTCAAAATGAAGAAGTTCATCAGCCAGTTCTGCTGACCACTGTTCAGCTCGGAGACTCCATATCTCTATCATGCCTATTCCTGAACCTCATTCTACCCTTTGTTTCCAGACATCTCGGTTTTTTCTTACTTCTGGAGTTTGGATTCATTTTTATGGTAGTTTCTGCTTGTCCTCTCTCAATTATTCGTTCATCTTCATCTCTGATGCAATAATCACCCTCCTGAACGATCACCGGAAGCTGAGGATAGACGTCCTTAAGCTCTACTTCTTTCTCATAAGGTGGGGGTCTTTTTGCTGAATCCGTATGTGAGAAAGGTGTACTGACTTCTGCCATTAGTTTTTCTGTCTCCTTTTCTTCCTTTAGCATTTTCTCTATACCTTTGTTTCTCTTATCGTTGGTATCTTTCATCAGTTTTTGTCCTTCATCTTCAAACAGCTTAAGAACACCCAGCTCTCTTTGTCTCTTCTCTTTACGTTATTCCCTTTTTTTCCCTTTATTTTGATCTGCTTTATGAATTGACAGAAGCACTTTCATTATGTTGATTACGTCAGGGTTAAGAGTCCCTTCCACTGGCCATGGTTGTTCAATGTCAGGCCAACGTTTGTTCCATTTGCCGGATAACCTAGCAATACCATTAACTAAAGGATTACTATTTTGTACTATATCAACAGGTGTAATTACCTTCTTAGTCCTTATATCCTTTTTCCCCCATTGTAACAACTTTTTATATTCCTTTATTGTGAATTATTTTTATTATTTTAGAATATATAGCTTATAGTGTCCTCCCTTTAATTATTAATATAAACAAACTTTTTTTTTTCTTCTTCTAAATAATAAAAATTAATCAATAAAAAATATGAATATTCAAAAATAATTAACCAATTATTTTATTATTATTTTTTCCAATTAAACAATTAATCAATAAATTTATGAATAATCAAAAATAATTTTTATTTCTATTTCCTATTTTACTAATTTATCAATTAGTGGCTATCTTACCACCTTCAATCAGGAAAAGTATGTATAATACCTATAATCCAGCAACACTACAGTACTCATAAACCAATTATTTAATAAGCACCAAATGACCTCAATCTTACAGAATAATGTCAGTACTCGATTCCCAACACAACTGTAATCAAACTCACTCATGCACAAAAACTCCAAAATGCAATTTTTATTTTATCAGTCTTTTGCCAAGTCTTTGTCAAATTGTCATAACATCAAATATCCTGTAGGGGAAGACTTTGTAAACAGAACAGCACTAGCCTGATATTTGACGAGATCCGGTGCGGCAGCCTCTGTCGCATCACACCCCGTCACGTGATGTACACGTCAGCACTTCCTCTCTTTCTCTCTCTCTTCGCTCCTCCTATCGTCTCTCATATGACAAAAGAACAAAGAAACAGACAAGAATCTCGTAGTTTATGCAATCACTGAGCCACTTCAACCATTCAATATTCCTCCAGTCACATTCGCGCTAAGAATTAACTCAGGAATCGCATAAATAGCTCAATAACATTTTTATTTTATTTATTTACTTAATTACTTTTATTTTTAATCCGTCAACATCTCTCTCTCATTTATCAATTCAATAGGTCTCAAGAAAACAGTTTCATCTTCAAACAACAGCCGATGTAACAACCAGAATACACCACTAGACTCCAAATCTCTTCTCTTTGTTCCTTCGTCTGTGTCTCCCCCCTTGCACAGTGTAGCAGAGGAGTGACCTATTTACCCCAACGTCACTCTAGTGTCGTAAAATCACACGCATGCGCAGTACATTCATCACTACGATTTCACCGTGGAAGGGAGCCCTCTCAGCTCCAGACAACAGAACGTTAGCATTCTGCTATAGCTCCTCTCCTTTACCCCTTATAGTCAAACAATAACATTTAACAGAGCTCACAAAACACCAGGCACCAAGCCCAAGCTAACTAAACACATTTCTGGTGGCTCGTCCCATTCCAATGGACCACCAAGGAACAAATATTAAACAATAACCCCGCATCAAAAATTGGCATGTAGCATGAATTTAGCATTTAGCATTTAGCATTAGCATTAGCATGTAGCATGAAGCATAATTAGCATTTCTCCCTCCGCCGTGCCATAAAATTTCATTTGTTAGCTAAATTTGTGCTACCACGAGATCCCAGTGGAATTGAAACGAGTGGTCACATCAAACAAACAATTCGTCAACCGCCAGCTGAGCGGTAACATGCATTTCCAATATACCACGGCCTCCAGTCCTCAGGACTCACCTAAAACACATCTAACGCGTTATAGGATTTCTGGCCCACCTTAAAGAGGTCGCCTGTATCAGGGCTTGTCGTTGATCCACAGCGGCTCTAAGTTACATACATCTGCCTAGGCTTATTTCTCTCTCAATCGATTGTTCTTGAACTCTTATTCAAGCAAAATATCTCTATAGACACCCTATAGACACTCTTCCCCCTTTTGCGCTGTTTACCAGTGCAAATAAATTTAGAATGGTTAGGCCAGACCCCTAGTCAACAGCAACAAAGCAACAGCAGCACACATCGGTCCTTTACGGTACATCTCTCCAGCGCACACACCCAGAAGCTAACGAAAGAAACACACACCCAAGACCGTGAGAAATCTCACCTTATGCCGGCGTCTTGAGCGAGAGTCACGTCGTTGCTCATGAATATAACACTGCAGAGACGTAGATCCGCCTCATTCCTCGTCGCCAAATTGTAGTGTCGAATCAATGTTGCTTATGATGCTGTTAAACAAAGGAGTCCGCTTATACTGAACTTTGATCATAAGTTTTATTCATATCACAAGATTTCAGCATAAGTGTACAGATGTATATAGCATCCGGAGAGCAGTGTTTCCCAAATTGCAATGGCTGCTCTGCTCTTCTTTGTCTCCATCCAGTACTTATAATATTCCCCAAAATATGGGTGGCTCCCTCTACTGTCCAATCCCCTGTCTTCTATGGGGCGTCACCCTAAAACAACTCCCTTTAAAACTAAATAAACATCCTCTCAGATTCCACTTGAAAACATTATCAAAGTCATAATCTTAAAACACTACAGTACAATGAGCTCACAACTTTGAGAACTTTTGGTTGGCTATTCTCTTTCACAAAACTATTGGCAGTGACTACCTTTGGCATAACATTATCTGAAAGCTGTACAAATAGCAGTGAAGCCTATTTGACATTACCGTCTTGTAAACTCTTCAGGAAAGAGTTGCAGGCCTCTATATAATAGATACACTGAAAAGTACAGCAACTTTAGCAAGTCACAGAATAGTGGCCTGAATGAAACAATGCAGGTGTTTGGGTAACCAAAAACACTGTTGCTGGTTCGGAAATATAACAGGAAGTATTGTGTTTTTTCCAACAGCCTATCAGGTAGGTCTTTGACATCAGACCTGCTTATTGGTACATATTTATTTCAAGCATTTATCCACCGGTCAGAGGACTAACCTGAAGTTGGAGCTACACACCAAGATGATCAGAATCGGGGTTGTTGTGGTATTATTATGTACAATATGTAAGTTTTGCAATTCCTACCTTGACTTGTCTAACCATACTGTGATGCTGTTCAGTTCACAATGTAAGAATTTGAGGGGGAAATTGTCTTTATGGGTTTCTGATACTGTTGAGCTTTCGTCAGTCCTTCAGTCCTAGTTCTTCTGATTAACCTAAACTTTTCATTCTGTGTTGCGTTTTTAGATGTGACACAATGCAACAATGTTCAGTGGCAAGTTCAAGTAAGGGAGGTTTACATTGGTGACCCAGTGACTCTCTACTGTGTTTTCTCAGAAATAATATACAATAGGGGAAACATGTTCTGGTTCAAGCAAATAATGGGGGAAATCCCTGAAGTTGTTGCAAGGATGCAGAAATTTCAGTCCAGGCCTGAACTGTACAAGGAATTTAAAAATTCACATCTCAATGTGGAGAAGGCTGAAGCTGACGGGACATATCGTCTTACGATCCCAAAGATGGAACCAAAGGATGAAGCTATTTACTATTGTGCAAGTAGGATAGAATATGCTGTAAACTTTATCAATGGGACTGTTTTAGTATTAAAAGGTAATGAGAAGATATTAATGCCCTTTATTTTTTGTTCATGATTCTTATCTTCATATGTTTTCTATGTGTCTGTGTGATTTTATACATTCATGTGCATTTGAGAAAGTGTTGTTTCAGATTGATTTATATGAAACTATAAATGTATCATTTAGGTAAGAATCACCAGATGTCTGATTACAAGACCGTGGTACAGCGGCCAATGTCTGACCCATTCCACCCAGGAGAAAATGTGACTCTGCAGTGTACAGTACTCTCTGAGACCTGTACAGGAGAACACAGTGTGTACTGGTTCAGAGCCGGATCAGGTGAATCCCATCCAGGAGTCATTTACACCCCTGGGAACAGGAGTGATGAGTGTGAGAAGAGCCCTGAGACTCCCTCTCCTACAAAGAGCTGTGTCTACAACCTCTCCAAGAACAACCTCAGTCTCTCTGATTCTGGGACTTACTACTGTGCTGTGGCCACATGTGGGGAGATCCTGTTTGGCAATGGAACAAAATTGGACATGGCCACTATCAAGAAATGGAACAAGTCAGGTAGAATCAGTTTAATTGAAGTGTATGGATTTGGATTAAAATTTTTGTCAGTTTAATACAGCAGGAAAATGTGATTCATTTTGTGGATTATAATTAATGGACATTTTTGTAGGTGTTGATAAAAAATGTTTTAGGGCAAACGTAAGAGTGATCAAATTAAGATCTTACATCTGTAGGCCTAACTAATCTGGCAATCTATTTATGAATTTTCTTGGGTAAAAATTTTGATAGACATTTTTATTTTTGTTGCAGAAAAGGCTCTGGTAGTGGTTGTTGTAGGTTTGGCAGTGGCGTTGGTGTTGTGTGGGATTGGGATCATCTTCCTTGCCTGCAACAGAAGTAAAGAGCAAGTCTGTGAAAATTGCAAAGGTAAGCAATACAATTATGCTTACTTTTGCCACCCTGAAGTTACAGTAGTTTTGAATTGCTATGGATATTTATCTTGTCTTTCGTCCCTGTCTGATGAAAACCTTGTAACTCCATTTTTGCCAATGTCATGTTTTTTACATTTATTGAAACATGGTAATTTTTCCCATTTCCTGAAAATGTTTTGGAGATAAGATGTTTTCATCAGACAGCGACGCTTTGTTTGATTTAATTGTTGTTTTCTATTGAAGCAGTAGGTACCTGTCCAGGAGGCAGACATGACGGATTAAGGGGAGAACAGGTATATCTACATTGTGAAATGGTTCAATTCCAATTTTAATGTGAAATTCCTCAATGACTCTACTACATAGCTCACGATAACCCTTGAAAACTACTCTATGTGATGAATAATGAGCCAGTAATTATATATTTTCCAACCAATATGTGGCCTACTGTTTGTATTTCTGTGAACATAACCTTTAATGGTTTGAAAATGTAATATGAACAACATGTAACTGACAAGTATTTATATGTAATAATCATGGTGTTACTATGTTTCTAAAATATGTTCCTCCTTAGGCTCAAGATGGAGTTACGTTGAATTATGGTGCATTGAATTTCTCTGAGAGGAAAACTAAAAGAGGAAGAAAGAAGAGAGAGACACCACAGGAGAGTGTGTACTCTGATGTCAGGTTCTCAGAACGGGAGTGAACTTAGCTTAATCATTCTAAAATGTAACATTAATAATACTTACATTTGTAAGTCAGTGCCCCTTGTACACAGAGAAATTGAAAATATGAAAATATGACAAATGTAATAAAATAAATAAAAAAATCATGATCAATTAGAACACAAATTCACTCAATGAAAGAAAAGCAATAGTTTTTCTTAAAGGGATATATTAAAAAATATATATATATTTTAGTATTTTGTTTATTAGTCCACTGTTGATACAGTCCCAAACAATTGTGCATGTAAGAAATTAACAAAATAGAGCACTTTCAGTAAACATCTAAAAGTTTGATGATGATTTGTTTTGAATCACACTTTTAGCTTTGTACTGAAAGTGCTCTACTCTTGTCAAACTCATGATTTAAGACTAGAGACTGGTACCCTGGGATCCAGACCACGTGGTACAAGACAAGCCTTTTGTGTTCTGCTGAAGCTCTTTTTTCATTCTTGCTGTTTGGATTAGAAAATAAATGGTTGTAAAGCTAAGGGGCGATGCTCTAGGGCTGTGTGGGTGTTTGAGAAAACAGACATGGAGGAGAAGCAACCAGTGTAATAGAACAGCCCACTCGTTATTGAAGCATCCTGTTAACAACATCAAAAGAGCCTCCCCAGATGCATAGGTTAGACTGATGCTGTATCAAACACATTCCCTTTTCACACTATAGAGCCAAGACGAACAAGGCTGTACTGGGCTGGCCTGCGTATGCATCCACCATTGTTTCTAGAACTGTGCTGCAAAGGACAATGTAAAAATAATTTATCTGAGCCAGCACAGTGTGGTTCAGCATGTATTGAAATAGTGAGAGTGTTAGTTGACTGACTCTGAACACTTCCACGATGAAACACAACTGGTATTAACCCAGTATGAAACACAATTGGCATTAACCCAATATGAAACACAACTGGTATATTAACCCAATATGTATAAAAGAGGTCCAAAGAAGGGAATATATTGATATATTTATCAAAATATAAAATATGTATTTATTTGTCAATTTCAAAATCATAAAAAAAATAAAACAAACTGTTGCCATACATCACTTTATGATGAGTAAATAACCAACTAGGTCAAAATACTAAAGCCCTGCCTTTATTTCACAGAATCTCATCCCGGAACTAGCCTCAACTCAAACACCTCCCGTCATGTGTAGGGGAATGGAAAAGGGATACAGTATACAACAAAGAATCCATACTGATAGTCAGTCACAAACGGAGTTGGAGAGTCCTGACCCACCCCTAAATGAGGATAAGCAAAGTCTTATTGCTGTCATAGCCTTTAGCGCCGCCCGTCAGGGGGAGGTACCTCTTATGCTCCAAACTGGTTTAACAAAAAATAGACTAGTCAGTCAGTCATCTGCCATTCAGAGAGATTATTCTCAGGTTTCATCTCAACATAATTACTTAATTTGCATGGGCATAAAAAATTTGAACAGCTAAAACATGGTTTGTTGTACTCAGTAGAACAAGTAGTATTAGTCCCAACATGATGGAGTGGGTGTTTGTTACTAGCTATTATGAAACTCTTCTGCTGTATTTCAGGTATGCCTATTACTTATTTGGTAGTGCACACAGTTAGCCTACAATATTGTGCAAAATACAATTCAAGTGTGAATAAGTTGTTTAAAGAGTTCATATCTGAGGCCAAAAAAGACAACATTACATGCAGTGCTTCCACAGGATGCTGCTGAAGGGAGGATGGCTAGTAATAATGGCTGGAACGGTGTAAATGGAATGGCATTAAACACATGGATACCTGGAACCATGTGTTGGATGTATTTGATACCATTCCATTCATTCTGATCCAAACATTACCACAAGCCCTTCCTCCCCGATTAAGTTGCCACAAACCTCCTGTGGTACCGTATGCCCTGTACATAACTAGGTGGTACCGTATGCCCTGTACATAACTAGGTGGTACCGTATGCCCTGTATATGACTAGGTGGTACCGTATGCCCTGTATATTAGGTGGTACCGTATGTCCTGTACATAACTAGGTGGTACTGTATGCCCTGTATATAACTAGGTGGTACCATATGCCCTGTATATTAGGTGGTACCGTATGTCCTGTATATACATTAACTAGGTGGTACCGTATGCCCTGTATATAACTAGGTGTTACCGTATGCCCTGTATTTAACTAGGTGGTACCGTATGCCCTGTATATCAAATCAAATCAAATCAAATTTTATTGGCCACATGCGACGAATAAAACAGGTGTAGACATTACAGAGAAATGCTTACTTACAGCCCTTAACCAACAATGCATTTATTTTTTAATAAAAAAGTAAAATAAAACAACAACAAAAATGTGTTGAGAAAAAAATTGCAAAAGTAAAATACAATAACAGTAGGGAGGCTATATATACAGGGGGGTACCGGTGCAGTCAATGTGCGGGGGCACCGGCTAGTTGAGGTAGTTGTGGTAATATGTACATGTGGGTAGAGTTAAAGTGACTATGCATAAATAATTAACAGAGTAGCAGCAGCGTAAAAAGATGGGGTGGGGGTGGGGGGCAGTGCAAATAGTCTGGGTAGCCATGATTAGCTGTTCAGGAGTCTTATGGCTTGGGGGTAGAAGCTGTTGAGAAGTCTTTTGGACCTAGACTTGGCACTCCGGTACCGCTTGCCGTGCGGTAGCAGAGAGAACAGTCTATGACTAGGGTGGCTGGAGTCTTTGACAATTTTGAGGGCCTTCCTCTGACACAGCCTGGTATAGAGGTCCTGGATGGCAGGAAGCTTGGCACCAGTGATGTACTGGGCCGTACGCACTACCCTCTGTAGTGCCTTGCGGTCGGAGGCCGAGCAGTTGCCATACCAGGCAGTGATGCAACCAGTCAGGATGCTCTCGATGGTGCAGCTGTAGACTTTTTTGAGGATCTGAGGACCCATGCCAAATATTTTCAGTCTCCTGAGGGGGAATAGGCTTTGTCGTGCCCTCTTCACGACTGTCTTGGTGTGTTTGGACCATGATAGTTTGTTGGTGATGTGGACACCAAGGAACTTGAAGCTCTCAACCTGTTCCACTACAGCCCCGTCGATGAGAATGGGGGTGTGCTCAGTCCTCTTTTTTTTCCTGTAGTCCACAATCATCTCCTTTGTCTTGGTCACATTGAGGGAGAGGTTGTTATGCTGGCAGCACACGGCCAGGTCTCTGACCTCCTCCCTATAGGCTGTCTCATCGTTGTCGGTGATCAGGCCTACCACTGTTGTGTCGTCGGCAAACTTAATGATGGTGTTGGAGTCGTGCCTGGCCATGCAGTCATGGGTGAACAGGGAGTACAGGAGAGGACTGAGCACGCACCCCTGAGGGGCCCCCGTGTTGAGGATCAGTGTGGAAGATGTGTTGTTACCTACCCTTACCACCTGGGGGCGGCCCGTCAGGAAGTCCAGGATCCAGTTGCAGAGGGAGGTGTTTAGTCCCAGGATCCTTAGCTTAGTGATGAGCTTTGAGGGCACTATGGTGTTGAATGCTGAGCTGTAGTCAATGAATAGCATTCTCACGTAGGTGTTCCTCTTGTCCAGGTGGGAAAGGGCAGTGTGGAGTGCAATAGAGATTGCATCATCTGTGGATCTATTGGGGCGGTATGCAAATTGGAGTGGGTCTAGGGTTTCTGGGATAATGGTGTTGATGTGAGCCATGACCAGCCTTTCAAAGCACTTCATGGCTACAGACGTCACTGCTACGGGTCGGTAGTCATTTAGGCAGGTTATCTTAGTGTCCTTGGGCATGGGGACTACGGTGGTCTGCTTGAAACATGTTGGTATTACAGACTCAGTCAGGGACATGTTGAAAATGTCAGTGAAGACACTTGCCAGTTGGTCAGCGTATGCTTGGAGTACACGTCCTGGTAATCCGTCTGGCCCTGCGGCCTTGTGAATGTTGACCTGCTTAAAAGTCTTACTCACATTGGCTACGGAGAGCGTGATCACATAGTCATCCGGAGCAGCTGGTGCGCTCATGTATGCTTCAGTGTTGCTTGCCTCGAAGCGAGCATAGAAGTGGTTCAGCTCGTCTGGAAGACTTGTGTCACTGGGCAGCTCGCGGCTGTGCTTCCCTTTGTAGTCTGTAATAGTTTTCAAGCCTTGCCACATCCAACGAGCATCAGAGCCGGTGTAGTACGATTCAATCTTAGTCCTGTATTGACTCTTTGTCTGTTTGATGGTTCGTCGGAGGGCATTCTTATAAGTGTCCGGGTTAGAGTCCCGCTCCTTGAAAGCGGCAGCTCTACCCTTTAGCTCAGTGCGGATGTTGCCTGTAATCCATGGCTTCTGGTTGGGGTATGTACGTACAGTCACTGTGGGGACGACGTCATCGATGCACTTATTGATGAAGCCAGTGAATGATGTGGTGTACTCCTCAATGCTATCTGAAGAATCCCGGAACATGTTCCAGTCTGTGCTAGCAAAACAGTCCTGTAACTTAGCATCTGCGTCATCTGACCACTTTTTTATTAACCGAGTCACTGGTGCTTCCTGCTTTAGTTTTTGCTTATAAGCAGGAATCAGGAGGATAGAGTTATGGTCAGATTTGCCAAATGGAGGGCGAGGGAGAGCTTTGTATGCGTCTCTGTGTGTGGGGTAAAGGTGGTCTAGAGTTTTTTTTCCTCTGGTTGCACATTTAACATGCTGGTAGAAATTAGGTAGAACGGATTTAAGTTTCCCTGCATTAAAGTCCCCGGCAACTAGGAGCGCTGCCTCTGGATGCAATCTTAATGCCAGCATTGGTTTGTGGTGGTAAATAGACAGCTATGAAAAATATAGATGAAAACTCTCTTGGTAAATAGTGTGGTCTACAGCTTATCATAAGATACTCTACCTCAGGCAAGCAAAACCTTGACACTTCCTTAGTATTTGATTTTGTGCACCAGCTGTTGTTTACAAATATACACAGACCGCCACCCCTTGTCTTACCGGAGTCAGCCGTTCTATCCTGCCGATGTAGCGTTTAGCCCGCTAGCTGTATGTTGTCCATGTC